ACATTTTCCTAAGCTGTTGAACGTCCCTGATTCTCACCCCTCGTAGATCAGACGGCACATACGTGTATTTGTGCTGCCATACTCGCCGTATTGAATACAACGGAAAGGCTATTAAATTTGTTTTTGTCCGAGCTTCATAATCACGTCTCGAGGACAACGCGTGTGCGGACCTTCTCTACCAATCTGTGATGAAAAAGAGCGAAAAAAAAGAAAACAAAGAGAAACCTTTCTTCAGTTTGCAGACGAGTAGCGCAAAAATTTGCAAACGATCGACAAATGGATGTTTGTTTCGTTCGCATCGGTCTTGCCGATTTTCTTCAACTCTATGCGTCTCATTGCGCATGGATTATTTACCGTCCACGTTCGAATGCAGAGGTAAAATAAATTGCCAGTCTATGTTACTTGTAAAATGTGCCGATATCTGTCGGGGCACTTAATTTGCGGTGTTCGTAAAAGTTGATGGAATAGATGTGATTAGATCTGCCGACGAGATTGACAACATGAACCCATTAGGTGCGCGAACACCCAAAAGATTCGATTAAGTATACTCGAGAGATACCGATTCCTTGTTAAGCATTTCACTAATAGTTATCAAGTGCAGATAACGTTTTGTGAACTACGAAAGCACTGATTTGTTCGTGACTTCGGAAGAACGGGATGAATTTTGTTCAAATATATATGTAAAAATTTATCCAAATAATTTATTACTGTATCAAAAATTAAACAAAAACGCATGAAAGTTAATCTTATCGAGTCGATCAGTTGTGAGAGAATTATTATTCTCTTGCACTCTATGTTTATTTAAAATACAATTTGAATCGAAATCATATAATTGAGATTTTTAACTAATATAAATATTTTTGATTGTAAACTTGTAAAGTTCGAATCGTCATAGAAAAACTTGTCATGATTTAATTAATCAAAAGAACATCAAATAAATTGCTTATATACAGCAAATATGTTGAATTAAAGTAAAAAATCGTATTCGAGAGAGAGAGAGAGAGAGAGAGAGAGAGAGAGAGAGAGAGAGAGAGAGAGAGAGAGAGTATAATGACTAAGAAACTACTTTCAGGCGACTAACATTAATACGTTAGTACAAAGAAATTCAAACAAAGCAGAAGCGTGTTTGTGAAATCTTAATTTAAAATCCGACTTGTTTTCTAATTACATTCAATATTATTATGCAGATGGAAACAAGAAACTTAGATGATAACAAATACATAAATAATATGATAAAAATTATATACATAATATTCATTATAATAATATTTTCAGTAAATTTAACATATTTATTACAAATATTTATTACAAATAAAAAGTAAAATTGTTATTATAAAATCTAATATAATAATATAACGAAAGTATCCCGAATTTCCGAATATCATTTTGTCAGTTTTTCAGTAGGGAATTTTAGTTTATAACATAAAAGCCAATCTTATCACAAAAATCTTTCAAAAGAGTTATTAACGCTTATGAATTTTTTAACGAACATTTTAACTCAGGATTTCTTTTGAGATTCAATTCAATTCAATCTAACTGAAAAATAACTCCAAAATATTTTTTTCTTTTTACAAGCATTCGAGAGCTATTTATCACATTTAATTTTGATGTTAAATAGCATTGTATGATTGAAACAACAGTGTTAACTCGTTTTCCAAAACCTGTTATTCAATGTTTTTGGATATTCTGTACAAATACAAATATGATGTGTACGTGTTGATCAACGTCTTTTATCGTAATCACGTGAAAGTTTACGCAACGGAGAATCGGAGAATAACATTAGATAAAGATCTGTGACGCGTTTTCTACTTTTGCGCAAAACTGATATTACTGTGGCTGTGTCTGCGAGCACGCGCAAAACTTGCTGTACACACGCGAGGACATATTATACGCCACACGCGTGTTTCTTCACGTGCTCATCTCGATTGGCAACATTTGCAATTACATCGCGCAAACTGTAGCACTCCTAGATTTCTGGTATGGCCACTAATCCCTGTCAACTCGAAAGACGAGTGTAGCTTGTAATAATAAAGAGATTCATATTGGGCTTTATGTTCGCTGTCAACTCGAAAGGCGAGTAGCTTATATAATAATAAAAAGATTCGTATTGACCTTCGTATTCACGTAATTCATGTAGTTGCGTTTAAGTTTCCCGCGCACTTTCGTTCTTTTCTGAAGATGGATTCGATAACATGTCTCGTACGAGACCGAGAGAAAGCCTCATAAAAACCTGTATCCGTTAGACATGCAACCTGCATGACTTATGTTATTGATCCAAACCCTTCAATTGGAGGGTTCCCTAGGCAGGTTTCTCCACGCGGAATGTCCTAGAGGGAAAGAAAGAGCAAACTGTTAACTGTAATATTTTTCTTCTAACCTTTCTTTACGAATTGAATTTTTTTTTAAATTATTTGTACATTATTTCACGATGTGTAAAAAAGAATGATATGATTCGATGTATTCGATAGTTACGAAATACGGTAAATACTTGTCGTATTTTTGAAGTATTATTTTACTTTTCCGTTTATTAATATTTATTAAAAAAAAAAATTACAAGCTTAAATTCTATAATTTCGCGAATTATCGAATCTTGTGACTTGAGACGATATTCAATATGCATGGATCTTATTTATATTCTTTAACTTGGTGACAAAAAATTCCTTTACTGGAGTGTCCTGCGACGTAACGTTCGAGAACTCATCGGAAATTGTGCATCGGCGGAAGAGCTTCGCTTCCCGCCGGATTGGCGGGTTCTCGCACGGTCGTCCGTGTTCTGCGGCATCGCGCGAGGGTAAGCGTAAAGCACGTATTATGAACTCGTACAACTCGACGCGGCGCGGCGCGACGCGGTGTGTGAATAGCGAGCACGTGCATTTCCCACAGAAAAGCAATGGGGGCTACGCCGGCTACGCGTCGCGGCGTCGCGGCCAGCTGGGAATACGATCGGGGTTCGGTACCGTTCGCCTCGCTCTTTCGGGATACGTACCGGGGACAGCCACCTTCGAAGACACGTATCGACATTCTTGTTCGTTTCAAATAAATTAATTAATAGTTTGTATTGAGGCTGTGATGCATTTCAAATGAAGAAAATGTTTTTATTATTTTAGGATAGATTAAATGAGAGAAACAAAATCTCCGCAATTATCCTCTAAATTCAAAGAAAAGTATTTAATAACATTCGAGTGTGCTGGAAACTTATTTTATAATATTTCTGTTTATTTCAAATAAATTAATTAATAGTTTGTATTGAGGCTGTGATGAATTTGAAAAAATGTTTGATAGACTATCGCTAGATCTAATACAGACATAAGATTATTTTTTAAATTATGAAAAATCAATCTTATATCTCTACTATAGATATACGCAACGTACATATAATTAAAGAAAATATAGATCTTTCTATACATTTTTAAAGAAATATTCGTAAATGTCTTTAAATCGTTTCGTAAATATAAGCCATTTAAAATCAATCCTAAAATAATAAAAACATTTTCTTCATTTACGTAATAAACGTCTCACACTCGAATGTTATTATTATTAAATATTTTTCTTTGCTATTAGATGATAATCGCGGAGATTTTTGTTTTTTTTTTTTTTCAAAAATCTTCAATTTTTATTACTATGTAACTATTCCTAGCGTAAATTTATTTGCACGGGGTGATGCCGAGTAGGAAATATGACCTTCTTAAATTATTCCAGTATCGTGAATGATTCTAGCATGTGTTATTACTACGTTGCAAAGATTATGAAATAAAGATCCGTTGCAATACGCCAAACACAGACTATATCGATTGGCATAAATCTATTCGTTTCTAGCGGGAATCGATTGCAGTATGATCTTGACTTGGCGAATGGTAACCACTTTTCTGTCGCAAATGCAAAAGTTCACACTGCCATTTAAACCGAATTAACTCTTGCCAGTATGATTGACGACGTATTATCGTCCATTGCGCATTATATCGTTGTAAGCTCGATCGTTTTAAATAAGCTGAGATGCTATATTAACTATTAGTCTGCAAGTTATTACGTTACTTAATATTGGACAGACTAATTGACAGCTTTTTCATTTTATGCGCGATTAAATGCATTGATGTATATGAAGTTGAACATATACCGTTCTTATTCATTATTATTTCCAATGTTTTGTCCCTTTCTTTTTATATATTATGTAAGAGATTTATATATTTTCTTACGTAAGAGGTATATGGAAAAGATATCAATCTTTAACTCGAGCCAAAAATTTATTTTACATCATAAGGGAAGTGTCTATTTCTCTGGGGAATTCTACGATTTATAGAATATATATGATGCACATCTGAAATTATTATATTTCAAATTCGATATTTATATTATTATGGCTGTGTTAAGTTTTTCTAGGAAAACTTGGCAAGTGAAAATCCAATATTTATCTTCAACACTAAGACGATTAGTACTTTGTACAATGTACATTCTTTCTCTTTTTACTGTAATTATTTACACGTTAATTTTATATATATATATAT